AAGTGAGCGGGGTCTCACAATTGGTATCAGAGCCAAGATTAGCCAACCGGCTCTGACTCGGGTGGCGTCTTGGGACGTAGTTGAGTTAAAGAGAATTCGAGGACGAATTCTTTGGAAGTCGGGAGAATTATAACATCCTGATCCCTGGTATATATGAAAAAGGTTTATAAGAATTGATTTGGTTACTTATGTCATCAAAGTGCACTTATCTTTTTCGGGCACTGGTCTTAAGAGAACTCCAGAGTTAAGCATGCTTAAAGCTGAAGTAATTTCAGGATGGGTGACCTACCGAAAAGTAGTCCGCGGTACCATGTGAGTGAGGACAAAACATGGAAAAAGATCACGTGGTGATTGCAGGGCAATAGACAAATATTACGAGCCTCCCGGACTAACGCACCAACCGTCGGACAGTGTTGGGCCAATGGGCCTAGAAAAAAAAGACGTTAGTCCAACAGGCCTATAGAGAGGATTTTGGACCCACTGGCCTAGAAAGAGGGTATTGGGCTCACTTGAAGGGGCGGTTGGAACGTTCATAATTATAGCCAATCCAGATAAAAAGCGGGATCAGGGTCTCATAGATTTGATAACTGGTCCGTCTGGTTCCCAGAAAGGAAAAAGGAAGCGAAATCTCACAAATTGTCTTTCTCTTTTTATATAAAAAACACAAATTTAACTTGTCTATTAAAAGAGCAAAATTTCATGTGTTTTTGTTCAATAAGTAGAAGTATAATTCGTTATGATTTGGTTTTGGAACTTTTTTAATTAAATGGTTTAGACGTCAGAAGTAATTTTTGAAAAATGATATATTTGTTACATATGATTTATAAAACTGATTATAAATGAAATCAAGGGTTAGACGACAAAAATGAAATTTAGAGGTTATGATAAGATTTATCACTAGTTTACCACTCAACTCAAAATATTAAAAAGTCACAACTCAAAATATTAAAAAGTCACAACTCAAAATACCAATCTGTATCACTTATTTGTGAGTATAAGGCATAGAATTGTCATCATTGTTTTAGGCCATCTCTGATGTATAGTTTTATATTTTCCTTTATTTTAGAATAATTTTAAAATAGAGTTATGTTTTATTCCAATCTTACTCTATTTTTTTTTTTTCTAAAATGAAGTTATTACCAAAAAGTGGAGTAATTCTGTTTTCTACTCCATATTTAGAATAACTTCATTTTTTACTTCAAAATAATAGGATTTGCAGAGAGAATTTTGTTTCAAACTTTATTTTAAAGTAAAATTTGGAGTAGGGGGAGATGGTTTTACTGAGTATTCCCATAGTCACTTCTTACCAGATTATGCAGGTAAACAAAGCAGGTCAATAAATGGCACAAGTATGATGATAATTTGGGTCGGCGAAGGATATTTTAAATCTTGGATTTGTAATAAAGTATTCATTTTGGGTCAATCGATCCATGTACCATGTGTTGAAGTTTATCAATGTATTTGTCTTTTAAGAAGTGATTAGTTGTTAAAGTAATCTTGTATTTGATCATAATAAAGTAAGAAGATTTTTTATGGCGATGAACGAACGATATTACAAGTCTAACACTTAGCCAGAAACCTAGTTTCTTGGAGTGAGTGATACAGATTGGTAGATAGACTCGAGCCGATTTTAAAAAACTCAATGTCCATAAAAATTTATTGAGACAATTTCATTTCATTAAAAATCTCTTGCTGACGAGGTCCCATTTTGAGAAAACGGAGACTGAGCCTTTGAGATGCAAAAACCCTCTCTTCTTCATAGACCTAGCTGTCAAATATTTTTGCTGTTCTGCCTCTCCGGAGAGGGCTTTATTTTCTCTGTATTTTGCCCTTGTTCTTATTCCACGGTTAGGGTTTTCTCCCATTGCTGATTGCTGGCGTGTCTTGCTCTCCCGCGTAGCTTCATCGATACGCTGGTTGACGGAAGCCTCATGCAGATCAGGATCTATTGAGGACTATGGTCCGGTGATGCTCCTCAAGTGCTTCCATGCGAGACTTCCGGCGACTCCGTTGTTTTGGTTTGAGCTTTGTTCCGCAGTCGTCTTTGAGTGAGCAGCGATCTTAAGGGGTGAAAAGAAGCGTTGGGGTATGTTGAGTAAGCTCGCCGTCTAAAGGACAACGGTGGGTCTTGAAAGGATATCTCCGAGGAGGTGAGTAGAGACAATAGATACCGTCGATAGGTGGTTTAGTAACTTCTCCCTAGGATTCGGGGACGAATCCCCTTGAAGGGGGGAAGATTGTAACACCCTGACCCGCCGGGTCGGTTGTTACTAAAAATCAATTCCCGGTTTATTTAAATTAAACCGTTATTCCTAATTAAGCCCAATTCTAATCTTTTTAATCTCTTTTTAATTCTCTGCAAGCCCATTAATCCAACCCATTAAGTCAGCCCATCTAAATTAACCCTAACTATAAATAGTTCTCTAATCTCTCATTCTCCATTTTTGGAAAACCCTAGCCACATTCTCTCTTCTCCTCTCCTTCTCTCAGCCACACCATCCTCTCTTTCTCTCTCCCTCTATCTCTCTCTCTTTCTCTTCCTCTCTCCCTTGGCCGCTGCTCTCTCCTCTCCCATCAGCTTCGCTCCCTCTTTTTCTCTCTTAAACCCTAGCCGCCGCCGCCTCCTTCCATGACGTTTTTCCGGTGAATCGTGTGGATCCACGAGACAAGCTACGTATCAATCTGTAGCCCCAAGTGTCAGCTTCCAAGGAGACCGAGTTCATCCAGATCGGAGATCTATGCCAGGAGATATCGTCATTTTCGTGTCGGGTGTCCAGATCTACTTTGTTGCTAAGGTGAGGATTAGATCTAGAGTCTTGTTTTTATTAATTTGTCTTCTTCTGGTGTGTGAGGTCTAGATCTGATGAGCATAGGCTGTTTTCTTGTGCATCTAGCTAGATCCATGTGTAAATCTAATGAAATGATATAGGATCTCATTAGAGGAAGAACCAACATATTTGATTGTTCACCCTGATGTGTGGTTAGTGATTGGTAGTGTAGCTAGATCAGGTGTTCATCTCGGTGGTGATGTGCCGAGGTATGGACTTGTCTGCTGGGCTATTGCTGTCTGTGTGACCAAAGCGGTAGTTCAACGGTGGGAGAAGGTACGCCGATCCTTCCGGGGTCTATATGACTGGAAGCCTGTCTGTGTGACCTGGCAATGTTGAACCTGTCTGTGTGACCTGGTGCCTGTCTTTGTGACCTGGCGATGTAGAGCTTGTCTGTGTGACCTGGCAGTGCCTGTCTGTGTGACCTGGCAAGGTTGAAGACATCACAATTGCTTGCTAGTTGTTTGTGCATCGCTAGGATGCTTGTGTGTTGCTTGTTGGATTTATTCTTGACATGCTGGTTGGAAATAAATGAGTGGAAAGGGAGCCTGGTCTGCTTCTCACTGAATCCCCATTACTCACCCCTCCTCTTCCCTTGTCTTATCATGTGTAGGTGAAAGATCAGCCTAAGTCTATGTTGTTGATTGTTACCTGGGCGTTTTCGATCCTGGCAGACCTGAGGCTCACCATCTGGACCAAACCAGGCATCTGACCGAATGCGATTAGATGGCTAACCTAACATGCCCGATTTCTCCGGTTTTCTTAGGAAGCCTGAGATAGGGATGTTACAAGATCTGCTTCTTCTTTTCTGCAATTCCCGTTTTAATTCTCCCTCAGATAAGTTTCTAACCAATGGTGTTCTAGAGGACTTAGCTTGTTCTCCATGCGGTGGTTTGTTTTGGTCTGCGAGGCTTGACTCTGGTTGGTGGAGGATCAGAAATCCGTCATAGGAGTTGGTGGCCGCAGCTCCGTTCGATCGCATGTTTTGCGATTAGGTCTTCTTTGGTCTCTCCTGTTTATCCGGTTTTGAGCCGTTTAACCCGGATATAGCCGTAACCAAGTCCATTAGGGGTTTGTCATTGGGGCTTGCTTTGTTATTTGTTTTTTCCCTTTTAGACTTGTTAGATTTGGTTTAATATTACAAAAAATTTAAATATTTTGAAAAATAATCCATTTTTAAAAATCTTTGAAAACTAAATTTTTTGATATTTAAAATTATTAAAATATCCAAAACAGATTAGACATGATTTTTTTTAAAAAAAAATCTAATTATTTTCGTATTTTTGGAAAATGAATAAAAAATTTGGATTTAATAAAATCATTTTTTATATTTTTATGCTTTGAATATTTTAAAAAATCCTATTTTACAGAGATATTTTTAAGTTTAAAAATATATATTTTTATTTTCAAATTCCAACATATATCTATGATTCAAAAGTAATAAAATATATTATTTGGATTCAGTATAAGTAATTCGATAAAAGAGTTTGAAAAACAAAAACCAATGTGAGTTTTCCTAAAAATGGTGTAGATTTTTGGAGTTTATGGAAATTGGGCGATGAGCAAAAAATTATGGAGTTTTCATTAGATTTGTGTATACTTAATAATTTGTTTATTATTATTATTATATATTATTTGTGTATATTTAATTATACACTATATAATTATAAGTAGATATATATCCCTAGTATTATTTTAAAAATTATTTAAAACATATATTTATTTAAAAAGACGAATTATGGTATTTTCTCAATATTAATTATGAATGTATTTGTTTTTTTATCAATTTAAAAGGTTATTTTCAAAAAAAATTAAAAAATTACAAAATTCCTGAAATATTAAATCAAATTTCCTTTTTATTATGTCTGCATTTTTTTTTTGGTATGTTTGTAAAACCCAAAATTCCAAAAAAAAATTTAATTATGAAAATATTTTAACAAAAAAAAAACAAAAGTCTTTTTTTTTTTACCAAAAAAAAATATATATCTTGCTGACAAAAATAATTGATGCGTTTGCTACATGTTATTGATTCGATCCACAACACTTTTGTCTACTTGTGTCTTTTTTAATATATTTTATATAAATATATAAAAATCGAACCAAACATTTTGTCTACTTGTGTCTTTTTTCTATACAAATCAATCTCTAGTATCATATATTACCGCTACATAAAGAACCTCTTCATTGAAGTCAACGAGAGATCAAAACCAAAAATGATGAGTTCAAGCTTCGACCTCAGTCACCTGGAAGAGTTAACGTCTAACGCAGAGCAAACACAAGACGATTTACTGAAGGAGATACTTACACTTAACGCCAACACAGAGTATCTCCGACAGTTTCTTCATGGAAGCTCTGATAAAACACTTTTCAAGAAAAACGTACCAGTGGTGAGCTATGAAGATGTGAAGTCTTATATTGAACGTGTTGCGAATGGAGAGCCTTCAGATGTTATTTCGGGTGGTCCCATTACTAGATTTATCAAGAGGTAAATGTTTTTTATAATCAGGATCAAAACTAGTTTCAATTTGAATGTGTATATGGTTGCTTGATCTAAATTGATTGTGAACTTTCTTTGTGTAGCACCGGAACTTCAGGGGGTAAACAAAAGATATTTCCTATTAACGATGAATACATTGAGCAGTTGGGATACGTTTTGAACCTACGCTCTCTCGTAATATCCAAGTAATTCCTTCTCCAAGTTTTTTATAGCTAGAGTTGACTTTCCAATTAATTTGATTTGGTAGGTACGATCGGAAAAACGATTTTTAGATCTCTATGGGATAATGGATACATACGGTGTTAATTGGGGAAAATATGTACTCATATGTAGTTAATTTATGTATAGTTTTGTAAACAACACCAAGATACCACCACCTCCTCAGAACTCCACAGCTGAAGCGCTAGACACCAACATGCTTTTACAAGCTTTTACCGCCCAATTGGAATCCATAACCAAAAAAAGTGATGAACGTTTCAACCTCATGGCAACGCAGATTGCCAACTCAGCCAAGCTCACACCCTCTTGCGAAGCCGTAACATCATAACTGACCTCAACTTAGAAGGAGACCCGACAACAACAGTGCGTTCTACAGTCTTGGAATCTCCAGCTGATCCAGTGACCGACGGAAAATCACATCACAAATTCACCAAGCAACCATTGCGGCTCCCGAGATAGATTGCATCATATAGAAAATCCAAAAAACACCCTTCACGCCCCGAATTACTAATACACCAGTTCCGCATCTGGAAAAATTGAAACTCAAAACCTACAAGGGGGACTCTGATCCATGCCACTTTCTGACCTCGTTTGGCATCTGCAAGAACCGAAATCAGTTCAGAACAACATAAGAAAGAGACGTGGTGCAATGCCAACTTGTACATTGAGAATCTCAGTTCAACACACAGACGAATCCTCTTCCAAGCGAGGATCGGGCGTCGGCATTCGCCTCAAAGTCTTCCGACCGCAAAATCTTGGAGTAATCTTTTCGTCTTGGTTTCCCTGCCTCGAATAACGAGACTGAATACGAAGCTCTTATCACCGGACTACGGCTAGCGAAAGGGATCAGAGCACGAAATGTCCATGCTTACTATGATTCGCAACTCGTAACAAATCCGTTTAATGCCGACACTCTAACCTCCCTTACATAAAATTCACATTCTCATCTTAAACAAACGATTCCTGTCGAAGGTATCCTCCAACTTAGCATAGATTCTGCACCCAAATGCAATATCTTTACTCTTCGCCGAGACTACGAAGCCTATCCCAATCTTGAACCACCACTGACACGAAGGAGGAAGGCTCAGGATCCAGTCGTCGACCCCATCGATAACCTCAATAACGATAATGGAATGGATTTCGACTCTGACGAAACATCTGAAGGACAACACGTCCCGATCAACATCGAAGCTGAAGAAGAAGATGAACCCTCTGACTGGACGATGGAGATTGTGGCCTACATCGACAATGTTACCGTCCTACCCTAAACCCTAAACCCTAAACAGCCGACAAATGGTCTGTCATCGACTCAAAGCATGCGCAGCTCGTTACGTCCTCGAAAAAGGCAGTTTATCAATGGAGTGCTTTCGGAACATTGTTAACTTGCATCAAAGGACACGATATTCAAGATGTCATGCGCAAGGGTCACAACGGAGAAGGGGGAAATCAATCCGGAGCTCGATCACTGGCTTTCAAAATAAAGAAAGCAGAATATTATTGGCCCTGCAAAGAATACGTAGCTCGGTGTGAAATATCTCAAAGATACGGTCCCATGATCAACCTTTCCACTGGATTCCTCTTGACATATACAGCTCCGTACCCATTCATGCGATGGGCGATAGACATAATCGGACTTTTCCACTGATCTACAAGCCAGAAGCAGTATGTGTTAGTTGTCATGGACTATTTCACTAATTGGGTCAAAGCATAAGCCTATCCTGCGATTCACGGCATCTATGTCAAAAAAAGTTTCTGGAAATTCATCATCTGCCAAACACGGCGTACCTTACGAGATCATCACTGACAATGGCACTCAATTTATATCGATCGTGTTTACCAACTTCTGCGCCAAGTGGACGACTCTCCTAAGTTTTTCTACCCCGAGGTATCCACAAGGAAACAGAAAATCCAAAACAACAAACAATACTATCATTGACGGACTCATGAAACAGTTGGATAAAGCAAATGGAACATCGGGCAATCCTCGTTCTCATTAGCTTATGGAATGGAGGCTATGTGCCCTGCAAAACTCAACATCCCTGGCATCCGCATAACTATGCTCACTCAACACGCCAACCTTAACAACGACATGTTTCTTGACAACGCTACTTCGTATACAGAATTATCAACAGCTCACGCTTCTATAATAAGATGGTAAAGAATCGCCACTTCGAAGATGGCGACCTGGTCCTACAAAAGGTTTACCAAAATATGGAAGAGAAGAACGCCGGTAAACTTGGCGTAAACTGGGAAGGACCCTATCAGATTATTAAGGTCGTCAAACCAGGAGTTTATCAGCTAATGAAGATTGACAGAACTCCATTCATCTCAAAAGATACTATTATTACTTTGGGGATTCCGAGCTAATCTGATAAAAAAACCTCTAAACTAGTACGTTCAGAGAAATCACCCTTTGTAATTTGAATAACGAATGGCTTGATCCCTTTTCAAGGGTACATAGGCAGCTCGAGTCTGAGTTAAGCTATAACATCAATAAAATTTCTTCTAAGAAAAAACGTCTTAAGCCGAACTCCCATGTTTGCAGTCTAGACCGAACTTATCAGTATTACATCGAGTTTTTTACCAGTTTTTCGATAGCATTCCCCATGAATGCAAACTTAAAAAGTCGACATCTGTCTCGTACGCATCCCCATGATGCCGTGGCGAAATAATCCACATCTTCAAAGCCAGGGATAGTCATGCACTTATATATTCCTAAGTCACCAAGAACAATAAGCCAAGCTCATCTCGCACACTTCGTTTTGACTTAAGAAACCTTGAATCAGTATCGTGTGTTTACAAGAGTACGACCTACGCTCTTCCAGGACAAGAAAGCTCATTTGGGTTTTTCAGGCTGAGTTCATTTAACTCGCACAACTTAAACCGAACTCCTCAGATTATCACCTAAGCCGGGTTCTCAACACTCGCAAATGTAAGCTGGATTACCGCAATCCGCTAAAGAACAAGTATAAAGCCAAACTACCTTAGTTCGCAAACGCACTTATCTATACCAATCAAGACATGCTCACATGAGTCATCTCGACATCTTACTTAACATATGTAGCAATGAGGAAAAAGAAAAGGAACTCATTTAAAAGCCTACCCGGGCAACAAGTTCGAAACAAAAATAAAAACCCTATCGGGCAATAAAACATGAGTTCGTAAGAGAAGCCTTATTGGGCAATAAAACACTTCGTTCAAAGAAAAAATTGTGAGAGATAAGGAAGAGGACGAGATCATATTTAGTTGGCCCATGGAGTCTTCAGGGTCACAGCTTGATCAGAAGAGAAAACAGCCTTATTTGATCCAAACTCATTTACTCCAAAAGGAGTGGCAGTTACAGTCGGATGAGAAGATTCATGCTCGGATAGCGGCGACAATTGCTTGTCATTATCTTCAAGGCAAAACGCCTTGATAGCCTTGAACTCGGCTTTCTTGGCGGCCCTCCGAGCCCATAGTTCGGACACAATGTCCTCCGGCACCTTGTAAAAACCTCTCTTGTACAGATACTTGATGGAGCCCAAGACGTCTGTGAGCTGCTTGTCAGCAAGGTAATGCTTGTGGGTCCTTTCTGCATTATCCAGGTACTTGACGACCTTCTTCAAGCGACCTGAGGCTTTGGCATGAAGATCAAGATGACGTGCTCTCTCCTTTGAGAATCACTCTTGAAGTTGCGACTTCTCCGATTCAAACTGCTTGTCTAGAACATTCCAAGCTTCCTCCAGCTCTGCCTTTGCTGCCTTCAGCTTGGAGTTTTCGTCCTTGAGAAGACTGACTGAGTGAGATAGCCCCTTGTTCTTCTCCTCTTCAACTGACATACGCTTCTCGAGCTCCTTGATCTGGCCCTACAACTGGGTAACCTTCTACTGTTCCTCGTAGAGGGTGAACTCGTAGTTGATAACTAGGGAGTTTGTCTGGCTGACAATCTGGACAAGTAAGAAAATAAGAAGAGTTAAGCAAAATTTCTCCAAAATGAAAGAGTCTTGGAAAATAAGCTCAAAGACCTTAGGCAGCTTTGGCTCGCTGCTGGAGATCTTTTCATACAGCTCTGCACAGGCTTCCTCGATATCCACAAGCGGTTCATCTTTATCATAGAAAACCCAAACTCTTGGCTTCTTCGCCAAATCGGAGTGGTTTGAATCTTCAACGACCGGATCTCGAGCCAATATCTTTCTCAAGCTGGGAGGCTTCTCCGAGAGAGCCTTGCATACTATGATGGCTCATTCAGTTGGGACATCACCAGAGGCATGCCATTGGCGAGAGGAGCACTCCACCTTTTTTTGTAGAACTTTTCTTCGATTATTTCTTCTTTCGGGGCTTTGGAAGCTTGGCCCCTTCAGCCTGTTCAGAGTTAAGAGGGACGGTTACTTCCTCAGGTGCCTGGACGTTATCCTCAAGAGTCAGCACAGCTTCTTGAATTTCCTCGGTTGGGTGCTCATCCTCGCTGAAGAGGTTGGGAATCTCATCAGGGGACATCATCCTTGCAGATTTTGGTTTTGCACGTCTGAGCTTCTTGGAGGTTGTAGGTCGAGGTCGTCTCATCCTGCAGTTTGGAGGATTGGGCTTAGGCTCCTTAACTGAGTCACAAAATAACAAAATGTTAGATAATCGAACTACGTAAAGATTGCATAAGAGAAAGAAATAAAACTTTACCAGATCTCCGAGCTCTTCGATTATTTTGTCTTACCATGCTTCTGGCCAACGATGTTTTCCGGCCTCACTAAAATCGGTTACGAGTTCTTTGGTCAGATCAGACTTAAGAAGGAGATGAACAGATGACAACCTACAAAGATAAATGGTTAGAGCAGGTAATGAAACAAATTGCAAAGGGATAAAGATCGGTAGTGCTACCGATCGGGACTCGCCACTCTGAGCTATAAGGCCTATCGGGGTCAACGAAAGATACCTTGTTTACTTAGAGGAAAAATATAATTGGATTCCCACCCTGCGTATATACTGGATTTAGAACCTGTAAAAAGGTCGTGACCGAGCTTAGAGTTGGCGGAGAAGTATCAAGGCTTGACCTTAGGGACGTTGAACAAGAAAAGATCTTCGAACAGGTGGTTTCTCAGTTCCACTTCTAGGTCAGAAAAAGTAGCCTGAACCCAGTGAAGTTCGTAACAGACGCCGACATCATCTGTGAGAGAGTTACTCTATGTCAGTTGCAATATCCGAGCAAACGTCTCAGAATCAAGAAATTGAGGTTACAAGCTGTGAGCTAGTTCCCATAAATGCAGATGTAGTTTTTTGGGGCATCCCAAGGCAAATCTCCCACGTCAAGAATGTTGACATTGACGCCCTCCAGTATCCTACCGACCTCCAGTGCAGCACGAACGGATTCCGGAGTACCTCGAGATGGTCTCACCATTCTAGGGCGAATTATCTCCCATGCAGGGACATTGTTTTCTTTCATGTTCTCAGCCTGAACGATGATCTCATCGACCTCCTCATTTTGTTCAACTTCATCGACCTTTTCCTCGTCGGCAACTTCCTCGACCTCCTCGTCTTCACCGACCTCTCTAGTCTCCTTGACGTTGATGTCTGGAAACACACACGTCTTGGTTCCTCTTTCATTCCAGTCCAGTTGCAGAATCAGGTCGCCTTGACTTGGTCGTGGCCAGCCTTGAATTCTTCCGAACTAAGGGCTGGAGGACGGGAGATCTACCGACCTCTCCAAAGATTCTGCCCAAATGGAAGGCTTGGAAGGAGAGTGGCGGTCCTCTGGAAGGATTCCATCGAAGGAAACAGAGTTGGAAAAAGAGCTGTAAGACATTTTGGATCGAATGAGGGGAATTCAAGAAAGAAAATTTGATGAACGGTATGAAAAGGAAGAACAGGATAAAAATGGATCAGAAAATTCAAGTAAATTGAGAAATCGTGGAGGATTGATATCGGGAGAAGCAAAGAAAATCTAGAGTGAGAAATGAAAAACTAGAGGGACGGGAGAGCAGCGTACTTTTTGTAGCGAGAGGAGAAATGAGGAATGAGAAGCGAACTTTGGGTTATAAAGAGTGAACAGTAATTGTGACTCTTCGGTTATTGGAAACGGCTCAGAATTCACGCGCCTTATCCAAATTAGGGTTTTGAAACCCGGAAAAACAAAGCGTCTAAAAATACTGACCTCGATTCGGAACCAGATTCAAAAACAACCAAGACGTTGAGCTTGTCAAAGTTGACTCCTTTAACCGAAGTGGGGCTAACTGTTGGAGATAAAAAAATGCACCACCGGTTTTTTCCGGTCAAAACCGAGATTAGCATAACCTAGAGAAAATGAAACTCTCTAGAAAATATCATATCGAAAAGGAGAAGGAAAGTCTTATTTAGACCGACTATACTCCCATATAAAAGGGGAGGAGAATCGACATTCAAGGACATAGAAAAATCAAGAAAAACTAAAGAAACTGAGACCAAAGATACTCTAGCACCTCGATTTCATTAGACCTTTAAGTTTTAGTTCGTTTATTACTCTTTGATAAATGAACTCAGCTGTATTTTTCATAACTCATATCAATAAAAAATGACTGCCAATATAAATTACTGTTTTACCCCTTTTATGTGATTTACATACATATCAACAACATTTATGAAACTGTATAAAGCATGTTAAAAAACTGTATACATGTTATAAAATGTTTATAAATTTTTATAAGGTTTTTTGTAACACATGTTATAAAATTTAAAATAAATCATATTCAAATATAAGAAAAAAACTGAAATAATTTGACAGTAAAAACTTCCACCACAAAGATTCATCTTGTTCCGATTTTATTTTGTAGGTATTTCAATGAGATCGGTGTCGAGCAAGGAAAGACAATGGAGTTTCATTTCATTAGACCGGAATCCACAACACCCTCCGGCTTACCCCTTTCACTAGCATTTGCAAGCTTTTTCATGAGCGACTACTTCAAAAACCGTCCATCAAAATGTAATTCTGAGTACACAAGCCCCGACCAAGTCATCTTGTGTCCAGACAGCAAGCAAAGTTTGTATTGTCATCTTCTATGCGGGCTTTGTCAGAGAGACGAGGTTGTGCGAGTTGGTGCTGCTTTTGCTTATTCTTTGGTCCGAGCAATAGATTTTCTTGGAAACTACTGGAAGGAATTGTGTGGTAACATCCGATCAGGTCATGTAAGCGAGTGGATCACCAATCATAATTGCAGAAGCTCTGTTTCAGCCATTCTTGGAGGACCTAATCCAATACTGGCAGATGTGATTGAACAAGAATGCAGCCACAAGTCATGGGAAGGTATCATCGCAAGGCTTTGGCCCAAAGCCAAACGTATCGAATGCATTATTACAGGACAAATGGGACAATACATTCCAATCTTGGATTTTTATTCCAACAAACTTCCTTTAGGTTCCACAATATATGGATCTTCAGAAAGTCTTTTTGGGATCAATGTGGATCCTTTATCCAAACCACAAGATGTTTCTTACACATTTGTGCCTAACCTCTCCTACTTCGAGTTTCTTCCTGTTGACCATGATGGAGACATGGCCAGCATTGTTGATCTTGTGAACGTCAAGTTAGGGTGCTACTATGAACCTGTGGTCACTAACTATTTCGGTTTAAACAGATATCTGATTGGAGACATTCTACAGGTTGTTGGGTTTTACAATAGTACACCTCAATTTAGATTCATACGCAGAAAGAATGTGGTTTTAAGCGTCGACATAGAGGCAACAACCGAAGAGGATATTTTAAAGGCGTTAGCTCATGTGAACCTTCTACTTGAGTCTTCAGATGTTATGTTGATAGGCTTCACATGCTATGCAGATATCTCTACTTTTCCAGGTCACTACGTTTTCTACTGGGAACTCAAAGCTAGAGGCGTTAACGATGTTGTTGAAGTTGATAAAAAAGTATTTGTGAAGTGTTGCTCTGTATTAGAGGAATCATTTAATGTTCTCTACAGAAGATTTAGGGGTCAAAGGGGTCAAGATGGATCAATTGGAGCTCTAGAGATAAGAGTGGTGCAACAAGGAACATTCGATTCTCTCATGGAATATTTCATCTCCCAAGGTGGTTCGACAACTCAATACAAGACACCCATATGTATCAACTCTTCTGAAGCCTTAGCGGTTCTTGAAAATAGGGTTCTTGATCGATTCTACAGCGAAAGATCGCCTTCTCTTGAAACATAGTTCTTTCTATTATCCATGTTTTGAATATATAAAAGCTGTGGCTGCATGCACGTTGCTCTTGGTTTTAATGCATCGTATCCTTATCCTTTTATGAGAACACGTTTTATTTGTCCTTTTCACGTGTTGATCTCCGAATTCTATTTTCGTTTTAATTTGTGACTTCTATTTTTGGAATATATTTGGTTTTAATTTGTGACTTCCATTTGTCGTTTTAATTTGTGACTTCTATTTTTGAAATCTATTTGATTTTATGTTGCTTTCCATTTTGTCGTATGATTTATATTTTGTCTTTTCGGTTGATTCCTTTAGACATAACTGAGATACAATAAAAGCTTTTGGAAATAGAAGATTAGTTTCATCTAGGTTTATTTAAATTCCTACGAGGATTGTATGCAAGATTCGGTTCCAAATCGGTGTCTGTGCAGGTTGTTCCTCCTAAAAAATGTCATATTTATGGGCTCGGCAGCGCTCAACTCAATCTTGAGGAGTGGTTTTGAAAAGGATATAACACAGAGACTATGAGTTGGACACACTGATTTTGCAAAACACTTTTTTGCCTCTTATTAGAAATCACTTAGACAATCACAAATGATCTGTCTAATCAGTTTTACACGACCTTGCACAGCAATTCGACACTGACCAATTCCTACTCTACCCAACCTAACACAACAACAGTTGTGTAACTAGATTACAATCACTCACCAAAAACCTCACGTCTCACTCAGTTTCTTGTGAATGTTGCTCTCTCAATACTTGCTCAGAACGGCCAACCCTACTGAGCCCCTTTTGCTTAGGATTTATACCCTTTTGTCTCGAGTATATCTCCTTTCCTTTTTTCCGTTAAGATTCTGATCTCCTTTTCTTGTTTTGAGGATCTTCTTCCTTTCCTTGGATCAGTGGTGCCACGTCAGCATTCATCATGCATCCTACGTGTCACTTGCAAACTTGTGTTATTCCCGCTCTTCCATGTGTAGCACATCTTGCCTTGTGGAGTCACGACTCTTACAATCTCCCCCTTTTTATCTGAATGTGATACTCCAAGCTTTCCTGAAAAACCAAACAACCAGCACACACAAACTATCCAAAACAATAAGGATATTCAATGAGCCAGAAGGACATTTCAACACTTTTTAAAACCAAACATCCATAAGTCCAACCAAGCTTTAGAAACCGAAAATCAAACCAAAAGCACGACAACTCAAACAAGGTTCAAGCATAAGACAGAGGGATGAACCATAGTAACAGAGAACTTAAAATACATCTAAAATGCATCTAGTTTCCAGCCCATTCATTTCCATCATCACTCGTGTCGTTGCTATTCTCCCCCTCAGCTGATGCGCCATCACTCTGCTCCCCTTCAACCGAACGATCCTCATCTCCATCGCGGTTTGCAGTCGCCCTTAACTCAGCATATTCTCCCCCTGCTTGAGTGCACATTTAGATAAAAAACCACACAGAAATAGCAAGATGACCAAATCCGAGACGCTTACCTCGAACCCGGAGCTGAACTCGTTTGAGCCACGTAGCCAGCTGTTCCAAATCAGCAGCAAGAGACGGAGCCGTCTGAGGTTCATCATCACCAGAGCCCTTCCCAGCTTTCGGGTCCAAAGTGATCTTGAGAGGATAACCAGCAAGAGGATGATCGCCTCGATGTCCCGGAACCGTGTGCTCAAAACTGAGGAGTTGGAAAATGAGATTGGGAAACATCAGCTTGTTGTTCACCATCTCAGGAGTCCGAGCAGCAGTCAGAATTTGGTCGTACACCAACCGACCAAAATTGATCTTATGTCCTTGCACAATGTGAGCGAGAAGACGAATTCGATCCTTGACCATGGTGGTATTGTTAGTTGTCGGCATCCAGTTGCAGCAGCACAGCTTGTAGATAACACCATGGAGAGGAGTAAGGTGCCGGGAGCGAAAACCTTCCCACCGATGCTTACGACCGCCTGACACACACTGAACAGCTTCATCAATGTTGATCCGTTCCCACTCACCATGAGGCAACGAGTCATCAACCAGGAACATCTTGTTAATGATTTCCGGCGTAAACTCAAACATCAAGCCACGGACATAAAGGTGGTTCGTGCCGAGGTGATATTCCAAATCACCCAGATTGGCATAAAACTCATGGACAACAGTCGGCTTGTATTGTTCCACATCGAGTACCGTATAGATCAAACCCGCATCATCAATGATCTTGCGAGCACCCACGAGTTTGGGATCATCGAGAGGTAGATACTTCTGATTGTGGAACGAACGAAGACGAAAGGAGGAAAACCTGTCCTTAGCAGCTAGAGAGGAGAAGTTGTCAATGGGTCGCAAGCGTGGACGCGTAATTTCCGGATGCATGCGGTCCCGCACCACTTGCTCACGGCGATTTGCAGAGTAGCGTGCCTCAAGAACCAGGTAAAGCGGGTGATCTACCTCACGGGGATCCACAAAGGCCTCAAGGTCCTCAGCAGAATCTTCGTCCATCTCGTCACCAGCAGAAGGAGCGAAAGGGTTTGAGAAATCCTCCGGAGATGCCCGCGATCCGGCAAACAAATGGTCGAACTCATCAGCAGCAGAGGAACCCTCACTATCGTCCTCTTCAGCACTTGGAATTTCAATAGGTGCTTTCCCGGAGCGAGATAGGGCCTTCCGTTTAGCTCGAAGACGCAGAAGGGCTTCAGCAAGAGTTTCTTCGTCCGCTGGGGAACGGCGACGCGAGGCATCGATTGCGGAAGCAAGAAGCTTGGCAGTGGCTGAGCGAGTGTTGCGCGGTATTGTGACCCAAGAGAGAGAACAGAAGCGGCTCGAGACAGTAGCACACAATTAGGGTTCGTGACACATGAAACGTCACCCACAACCTTTTAAAGGATCGCGGGAAAGAAACCTAACAAAAAAGCTCAGCCCACAGTTAGTGTAAAAAATGGGCCAGAAGCCCAGAACAAGTGCAACAAACAAATATGCTCACAAATGCCGATACCCAATTTAAGAGATCAACAAAGCCCACAGATGTACAAGGTTAAAGATATAAGGACCCCATGCTCGAGATTGAAACACATCACATCATGAGTAACACACACTAAGGATATCACCTGCCTCTATGTGTGAGAGAATAAGCACAGCGGTTTCAGTTAGTGAGGGTGGTGCACCATAGACAAACAGAAATCAATATTTTTCGACCAACTCACTCTCTGGGTGGGAATGTGCGGCATACCCTTAGCCAAGGAGCCTTCACACATTCCATCAGCTGTCCAGCATCTTTCCCTTTTTCAGTCACTGCAGTCAAGAGAAGATGTGTTTGATCGAAGCTAACATAAGAGCATTGCCAGGTGTGCACTTCAGCCATCACAGTCGAATGGTCCTACCGCAGCAGTGAATCACAGAGAATTACCCAGCCAGATTCTATGCAAGATCATCATAGTGCTGCATTCCCCCAGCTGAGGAGCATTCACACTTACTCAAATTGAATGATACACCATACGATGTGCATTAAAATTGTGTTTTCCCTTTTTTTTTTTTTCACATGCTGAAGATAAATCTCCGTGATCACTGCTGGCCCAACTTAGTGCAGCTTTCTCAGCTGAGTAGCTTTCACACACACCAAACGAACAACTCGAGAACGGGCAGGTAGTTAAGACCCATCCTCACCGTGGCATGCACTCTCACATTGACTTCCCCGATCATGCCAGTGATCAGTGTCAGGCTTAAAGTGTGGTGACACCTTAGTCCAAACTGAATGACAATCATACCAGGACACATCTCCCCACATGCAGAGACTTAGAGTCCAGGAGAGCTGCTCAACAGGTGATTTACCAAGAGATGTTTTTTAAAGAATGTACACCAAATATACATGAACCGCGCACCACCCCCTGCGTATCACGCAAACTCAGAACTCACACACACCTAAGGCCTTTCGCAGTCGAAAAAAACTGTTCAGGTCTAAGGGTTTTGTAAAGATATCAGCCAATTGTGACTCAGATGCAACATGTTCGATAACAGCAAGTTTATCCTCTACTAAATCTCGAACAAAGTGGTGTCTAGTATCAATATGTTTTGTGCGAGAATGTTGAACAGGATTTTTTGTGAGATCAATTGCACTTTTATTGTCACACTTAATAAGGAAGGAGTCAGAAGTGATACCATAGTCAGCAAGCATTTGCTTCATCCAGAGCACTTGAGTGCAGCAACTCCCCAATGCCACATATTCAGCTTCTGCAGTGGACAATGACACGCAATTCTGCTTCTTACTGTGCCAGGATACCAGATTGTTCCTCAAGAAGAAACAACCGCCGGACGTGCTCTTCCTGTCATCCAGACACCCAGCCCAATCTGCATCACAAAAACCAGCAAGATTAACATTAGTATCCTTCGTGTAGTGCATGCCATAATCCAGGGTTCCTTTGACGTATTTGATCACACGCTTGACTGCATTCAAGTGTGACACACGAGGTGATGTCTGATAGCGAGCACATAGGCCAACACTCAGACAGATGTCAGGTCGACTTGCAGTAAGGTACAACAAACTCCCTATAATGGCACAGTACAGCTTCTCATCTACATGCTGTCCTCCTTCATCCTTGGCCAGTTTGTTTGTAGTGCTCATGGGGGTGTTAGCACTTTTGCTTGTCTGCATCTCGAACCGTCTCACAAGATTCTTCGAGTAAGTGCTTTGGGAAACAAAGATGCCATCATGAGTTTGTTTGACTTGTAACCCAAGGAAGTAGCTCAACTCCCCAACCATGCTCATCTGAAATTCCCTGGTCATTGTTACCACAAACTGGTCAACCAAGCTCTGTTGTGTGGCACCGAAAATTATGTCATCAACATACACTTGAACTATCAGGATGTCTCGGCGCATGGTTTGGATAAACAGTGTCTTGTCCACACTTCCCCTCTAAAATCCTGCTTTCATCAAGAACTGAGCCAGTCGTTCATACCAAGCTCTAGGAGCTTGTTTCAAACCATAGAGTGCCCGCTTCAGCTTGTAGACATGGTTCGGGAATTCAGGATCC